AGAGTCTGACTCTTGTTCTCAGCTCAGGTCATGATCTCAGGGCTTGTGGGTTTGAGCCCTGCATTGGGCTCAGTGTTTACAGCCTGGAGTCTGCTTGGGATTCTCTCTCTCTCCCTCTCTCTCTTTGCCCCTTCCCGCTTGTTCATGAGCACACACATATATTCTCTCTAAATAAATAAATAAATAAATAAATAAATAAATAAATAAATAAATGAATAAACTTTAAGCAAACAAACAAGGGGTTTTCTTAACAAGGCATATACCTGACATATTCATATGCATCCTGAGAGGTAGCTCCAGATTCCAGGATTTACATTTGGAAGGGTTTACTTCTCCTGGACTGTTGTACATTTTTCTCCTAATATATTTGTAGATGGTCTCTCCCCTGCTTTTTTTCTTCTTCTGCCTTGTAGCTGCTGTTGTTAAGGATTGCACTCCTGTGTCCTTGAGTGCCCCTTAGTAACACCCAGCTTGTTTGTGGGAGGAATTGGAAGGGTTCCTTCCTTTCCCTGTTGCTGTGGGAAAAGGGAGCTGTGACTATCAGCATAACTGGGACTATAGCTGCAGATTGCCAAGTCATCTCCTCATCAGAAAGAGAATATGAGAGGCACAGTTCTGTTGTAGGGCACATGTATTATCCAGGATGAATTTCGGCTTCAAACAACTGAAAACCGAAAGCAGTATGGCTCAAATATATTGAAGTTTATTTCTCTCACATACTAAAAGTTTATTTCTCTCACAGCATTGTGGGGCTGGTAGGATGACTTTATAGTTTTTCGGGGAGCCAGGTTCCTTCCTTCTGCTTCACTGCTCTGCCATCTTCAGCATGCGACTTCTTCCTAGCTGGAGGTCCAAGATGGCTACTCACGCTCTAGCTGTCAAGTCTGCACTGTAGCTGATACGGAGAACAAAGAAAGGCATGTGCTGCCCTTCAAACAGACTTCCTGAGGTCTTATTTATATGAATGTTTGCTTACATCCCTGGGGCAAGAATTTAGTTATCTGGCCATACCTGCCTGCGGAGAGAGGCTGGGAAATGTCAACTTTATTTTGGGCGGCCATGACTACGCTAAAATTTCTATTACTAAGGAAAAAATGGAAGAAGAGATATTAGAAGATAACTAGCAGTTTTTGCCACAGAGAGACTTTAGGGATTTGTTTCTGCTTTGGGGTTGGGTATGGATCTGCTAAAGCCCCTAGAGACTGAAGACCCTCACATGGACCCCACACTTGCTGGTACAGGCTTTCCAGCCAGGAAATGAGATCGGGAGAAGAGGGAAGTCTTGGATGTTGTAATTGTGGTAGTTGCGTCTGAGCACCTGGCCTCCAGGCTCAGCTTTGTGCTTAAGCCCTGACAGAATCTATGGTGCTAGATGGGGTTGGGAATTTGGGGAGGCTTGAAGGGGTGGGATCAGATAGTGATATGTTTCTTAATTAAAATCAGGAAAACCTTAAGGGGACTTGGCTTCTATATGGTAGACTGTTCTTGGAGCTCCCTGTTCTCTGGCAGGGCTGAGAGTATGGTGAAGCAAGTAAGGCTCCGGGGACAGCATTTAAGGATGCACTCACTCTGGGGGTGAGTCCCCCAGACACCTGGGGGTGTCTGGGTGGTCCATTGGTTAAGAGTCCGACTCTTGGTTTCGGCTCAGGTCATGATCTAGCAGTTGGTAAGTATGAGCCCCGCCCTGACGATGCAGAGCCTGCTCAGGATTCTCTCTCTTTCTGCCCCTCCCCTGCTCCTGCTCTCTCTCTTCCCTTCTCTGTCTCAAAAAATAAATAAATAAACTTAAAAAAGAAAAAAAGGATGCATTCATTCTGAGGTTCTCCAGGCGATCCTGAAAGTGAGCACCTCCTTAAATTTTGTGTCCCAGACACCCTCCTTACCTCACCCTACTTCTGGCCTTGCTCCCTGGCTACACGTTGTTTTAGATTAAGTATTTTAATTTTTACTGAGGAAGAAGCATTTATGCCTGGTAAATAACAGTGTAAAACAGTGTACAATGGAAAAAGTGTCTCTCCCTCACCAGAGCTTTGGTCTTCTTCCCCAGAGGCAACCACTGTGACCAGGCTGTTTTGTATCTTTCCAGCTGTCATTCAGAAGGGGCTCTGAGGGGATTTCCACGAAGAGCTGCCTTCTTTCACTTACTGGCAGGAGTCATTGAATTGCACTATGTGCAATATTTACTTCTGTGCTGAGAGGATCAAGCCAGGGGGGAGATTTGTAGCAGGATGGAGGGAAGGAGAAGGAACAGGAGTGAGAGGGAGTGCCTGTCAGTGGGGCTGTGGAGTATGTCTTCTTTTCTCCCCCATCTTGCAGCCACATCTTGGTGCTGTAAGGCACAAGCACGGTGAGCACAGCTAGGGCATCGTGAGATAGTCTCTTTCTTTGTGTGTATGTCCGTCTTTTTGTCTGTCACTCTTTTTGTCCCTTCTCTCTGTCTCTCTTGGTCTGTCTCTTATCTCTCTCTCCCCTGTCTTCTGTGTATTTCTGCACCTTTCTCTGTTAGTCTTTTTCTCACAAGCTGCACACCCTCTCACCTCTGCTTCTTTTCATAGTTCTGTTTCCTTCCTCTGCTTTTTTGTGGTTTTTGCTCCTCTGTTACAAGGACCTGTATGCACCTTCGACTTGCTGTGTCTCCCAACTCTGCTACTGTTAGATAGATTCCATTTCTTGCTGCCCCACTCTGTGTTCCTGGGAAAGACAATTGAATAGGTTCACCTTGGGTGATCAGCTGTGATAGGTGAGGGGGGGGGCAATTCCCAAGAAGGGGCCTGGCAGATACCTCAAAATATGCTTACTGTGTTGGATAGGGGTCTGCGGATTACTGGTGGCTATTAACTTGGTAATCCTTATGCTAGCTGATCTAGGCTTAACTCCCACAGAGAACTTGGATTAGCAGGGCAGGTCCCTGGGAAGACCTGCCAGCAGCATGCATTCCTTTGGCCTTCCCTCCTCTTTGACCATTGCCTTCCTCCATCCCCCGTATGACTAACTAGTGAGCACCTGTATCATTTGCCAGAGTACTGAGTGAAAGGTCTTTAAGGGCTATGGAGGCTGTTTAGCCACCATGTTTATTTCCACAGGCTCTAGGCTTCCTCACATCTGAGTAGAGAAATGTCAACTTTCTGACAATTGCCTCACTCTAGGGAATTGGTGATTAAGTGAAAGTCATCACCATCTTTTTTTTTAATGTTTATTTTTGAGAGAGAGAGAGTGTGTGTGGGTGTGTGCAAGTGCAAGTGGGGAGGGGCAGAGAGAGAATTTCAACTGGGTCCGCACTGTCAGTGGGGAGCCTGACATGGGGCTTGAACTGATGAACCGCAAAGACCATGACCTGAGCTGAAATCAAGAGTTGGATGCTCAACCAACTGAGCCACCCAGACACTCCAAAGTTCATCAACATCTTGATTCCAACCAGAGTTTATCAGTTCCCCTCTTTGCTTGGCAATAAGCTTAAGAAAACAATATGCTTTTGTTTCCCCCTAATAGTTGTGGTCTTCTATGGGCACATGCCCAAGGGGGAGACCTTCATGAGACAGATGTCCATATGACCATAGCATGAGTTACTAAGCTGTGCTGTGAAGTGGGAATGCCATAGGGTTCAGGGAGAGAGAGCTCAGTGAGGGGCTGCCTGGTATATTTGGGGAAGGTTTTACAGAGGAGGTGGGGATTTAGCTAGATCTTGAAAGTGGGAGTTGTTGGCTGTGGCAGGAGGAGGAAGAAAGGACATTTCTTTTAAATGTATATATGGCACCAGTAAGAAGAGAGTCTGGCTGAAGGAGAGAGTGCAAAATGGGTAGGAGTAGGTGGAGGCAGCCTGGAGGATGAACCCAAAAGATTTTGTAATAATGTTTGAGGTTCACATAAAAGTTCTATTGTTGGAGGCTTAGAGCAGTACTTAGCAGTGTCACTGTGGAGCCTCTTGTATTCTGTTCTTGTGTCTTCCTGGTGGGTCAGAGCAGTCCCTGTTTAGCAACAGTAAGGTGCTGGGACACTCTGCATAGGGCCCAGATATCACTGATGTCCACGAAGAGCTGGAACGTAAAGCCAGTAGTGCAGACAGGAGCCTAGAGAATGTCCAAGCAAGCTTCGTTTTGCGTGGGCCTCACTGAGAATCAGGAGGTTTGGATAGAAATGGAGGGGGTGGATGGGGAGGGGGTCCTTGTAAGCTTAGGAATGGTGGTTAGCCTTATCTATAAAATGGGAATAGGAACACCTGTATTTTAAGGTTGTGAGAATTAATCGAGAGGATGCATGTGGAATTGTCAGGTACATAACAGGCTTTTAAAAATATATACTTAGGGGCGCCTGGGTGGCGCAGTCGGTTAAGCGTCCGACTTCAGCCAGGTCACGATCTCGCGGTCCGTGAGTTCGAGCCCCGCGTCAGGCTCTGGGCTGATGGCTCAGAGCCTGGAGCCTGTTTCCGATTCTGTGTCTCCCTCTCTCTCTGCCCCTCCCCCGTTCATGCTCTGTCTCTCTCTGTCCCAAAAATAAATAAACGTTGAAAAAAAAAAATTTAAAAAATAAAAAAAAAAAAATAAAATAAAAATATATACTTACATGCAAAACATTGTCTCTCTAATTCCTAGGTGACTTGCCACTTGTATTTAAATTCACCTCATTTATTGATGGACCTCTCTTGTCCCCACTTTCTAATGTGGCCTTGGAAATGTTTTGTGCCTTGGGTGGCTTGGAACCTTGGGAGTCTGAGTGGGGAAGGGTGGGTGAAATCCATTATTTCTGGGCCTGGGGGCAATTTCCAAAAATGATTCTGGCTGTCAGAATTAATGAATATGTGTTAATGCATGCCTTTGTATCTTAACTTGTCAACAGTGCTGGGCAGATTGTGGATGTCCCTCCATTTGCCTGTTCTTGTGGTTCTGACTCGATCACTGGCCCCTTTGGTTTTAGTTAGGGCAGAAGTGATGCTCTCTAAGGAGAGGTTGGGTCACTGTGCCCTCAGCTCAAGCCTGCCAGTGATTTTATGTTTTTCCTTCTAGGTCTGCTGACATTTGTCAACTGTGCCTATGTCAAGTGGGGCACACGTGTGCAGGACACGTTCACTTATGCCAAGGTCTTAGCGCTCATTGCCATCATTGTCATGGGCCTCGTTAAACTGTGCCAGGGTAAGATGGGCCTGGGCTTGGAAGGAGGGTGAATGACTCCAGGAATTTGTGTGGATTTCCTGAGGAGGACATGGGAAATCTTGGCTTAACTGATCAGCTCATTCTATGTATATCCTAGACTGTCATTGAGAGTAAGACATCTGTTCCTGGGCTCCTTGGACCAGGCTGGCTTGGCCAACTGAACACGAGTCAGTCCCTCTCGCAGGGCTGTTTTCCCTTTGTGGAGGCTGGGAACATTGCAAGAAGGCAGCTGAGAGCCTAGGAATTCTTGAAACCTGGGTTGTGTGTAATTGGGTCATAAATGTAGCTGATGGGGATAGAGTGAGCCCTGCTGTGGCCCTGTTTTGGTCTGTGACTGCCAGGCAGCAAGTAGGAAGACTTGGCCCTCCTTGAGAGGAGTGGGAAGGTGTGCATAGAAGGTGGATGGAATGTAGAAATGAGTGGTTATTTTGGAGTCTTTACTTTTTGCTTTTATTTAGCATTTGAACCCAAAGTCAACTCTCAGCAAAATATTAAAATAGTGTGAAGCACTGGCTTTCCTACATGTTGACTTTAGGAAAGCTTTTCATTCCTGAATCAGAGTAAACTAGCAGGGAGGGTAAAAGGCCTCATGAGGTCTCCTGAGCTCTTAGGGAAGTCCTGTGGTGTCTTTGGCCAAGGATATCTCAATCACTTACTTAACAACCCAGTTCTATATTGTCTGTCTCTAAACTCAGCTGTGTTTACATTTACCAGGGAGAGGTGAGACCCCCTTCTCAGATCTATTGGTTTTGGAATTCAGAAAGCTCTGTTTTCTTTTTTTTTTTTTTTAATTTTTTTTTTTTCAACGTTTATTTATTTTTGGGACAGAGAGAGACAGAGCATGAACGGGCGAGGGGCAGAGAGAGAGGAAGACACAGAATCGGAAACAGGCTCCAGGCTCTGAGCCATCAGCCCAGAGCCTGACGCGGGGCTCGAACTCACAGACCGCGAGATCGTGACCTGGCTGAAGTCGGACGCTTAACCGACTGCGCCACCCAGGCGCCCCGAAAGCTCTGTTTTCAAGTGCCTTCAGTGATTCTGGTCCAGTACCTTGGCATATGTGCCAAGTTAGTACAGCCAGCCATCTGGATGTCCCTGGAGTCTCAGGAACATCTCAGGTCAAATTGGGTAGCTGAATTAGCCTCCTACCAAGATCTGTGCCTTAGGAAACCACTGCTGTGAATGATGACTGACACCTCTCGAGCATGAAAACCCCTATTTTCCCTTCTCTTGCTGCACACCCATCCCTTTTTGATACATTAAAGGAATAGGTCTGCTTTTTGCAGGGGATTACAGCAGGCTTCCTTAGAAGTATGGATCTTGTAAGAAAAAAAAAAAAAGTATGGATCTTGTTTAAAAAACCTCCAGTGTGCCTAGAAGGTCTCTCTTCTGGGCAACTGGGTGCTGCTCCCTTGGCTTTCAACTGTGGGGGCTCCAGATGCCTCCAAGAAGAACAACAGGTGCCTAGGCTGGCTCTCCATGGGTGGAAGTGGCTTAGGCCTACCCCAGGTGCAGTGAGAGATAAGAAGACCCCAGTTCCTACATAGCCTGTGATTTCCTGCTGCATGCAACCGCAGCCCCTGCAATTAGAGCAACAGAGTTCCCTCCATGAGAATGAGAAAACTGTTTGACCACATTGTGCAGTGGTCTTGGCCAAAAGAGATAGTTCCACAGGAAGGTCTAATTGTTAGTTAAAAATGTAAAACAGGGTTATTTCTAAAAATAGGAAGAACTCTGGCCTACCGTGAGGTCACTTGGAAATTCAGCAGAGCTTTGGAAAAGGTGTTATCACTTCAGAAGGCAGCCAGGAATGTTTTTGTTTTTCTCAGATTGTGTAATTTTGCTAGAGGAATATGAACTTTCTTGAGGGAGTGGGTGGGGTGATAAAGTACAGGGAGCTGGTGGTTGTTCTTTTGGTGTTAAATTATGTTTTTTTTCTTCCCTCTGCCCGCTTGCTTTTCCCTTCTTTTCTTGACCCTCCTCTTTTTTTCTCCCCTCTTCACTTCCTCTTTCTTACTGCCTCTCCCTGTTCTTCCTCTTCTCCCTATACCTTCCATCTCTCCCCTCCTTCTTCCTCTTCCTTCTCCCTGAACCCCTTCCCCTATCTGCCTTTGCCCCCACAGGACACTCTGAGCACTTTCAGGATGCCTTTGAGGGTTCCTCCTGGGACATGGGAGACCTCTCTCTCGCCCTCTACTCTGCCCTCTTCTCTTACTCAGGTTGGGACACCCTTAATTTTGTAACAGAAGAAATCAAAAACCCAGAAAGGTAACGGTGGGATCACACTCTTTCCCCCCAACTTGGCTGGAACTCCTGCTAATAGTGGGCACACTTGCCCTCCTCCCTCTCCTCCTTTCTCTTTCTCTCATTCCTTCTTCTTCTCCCTACTGCCCTTTTTCTAGCTTGGAGGAATTAGGGGGTAAGCTGGGAATGAGTGAAGGTGGGAAAGCCCCTGGCTCCTCACCCTCAGGTTTACACTGAAGGATCCCCAGGGTCCTTGCTCAAGGAGAGGTCCTTCAGTGGGCAGTAGCTGACCCAGCTGGGGCTAAGGTGTTAGAACCTCGTCTCTGGTGCTGACACTGAGGCCTGAGGAGCCAGGAGCTTATTCTGGGCAGCCAGTTCCCCAGCCTGACCTCCAGTCCCTGGAGGACACTGCTCCTCCTTCAGTGGGGTCCATTGATCCTATTGTGGTGAGGATCAAATACTGATCCCCAGCTATCCTCACAGAGAAGGGTTTCTCTCTCCCCCTCTCCTTCTCCCTCTCTCCCTCGCTCTCTCTGTTTCTCCATGGAAAGGGCATGGGATTCATATCCATCTTTGACCATGTGGGGAAGAGGAGCCTGCCTCAAAGATTTAGAACCAGGGAACTGTTAAACTTCAGAAAAATCCTTGGGTTAACTTTTTTTGACTCCAAGGATAGTTGATTCTAGGTAGTCCTGTCTCACTTGTCCTGACAGAAATTTGCCCCTGGCCATTGGGATTTCTATGCCAATTGTGACACTCATCTACATCCTGACCAATGTGGCCTATTATACAGTGCTGAACATTTCAGATGTCCTTGACAGTGATGCTGTGGCTGTGGTGAGTACCCATTTGCTCATCACCTTTTCATACTGAATGGCTCAATCTTTCTTTCTGCAGCCATTCCAGTTCTGCAGGGTGGGATGATGGGTCTAGGTCAGAGGGTGGGTGGGCTGCTCAGTAGTGATGGCATTTGTCCTGATAGCATAGGTACAGGAGGCTTATGAAAGCCTGTCCTGTGCTGAGTGCCTTCTGTGCTCTGCCCTCAGACATTTGCTGACCAGACATTTGGCATGTTCAGCTGGACCATTCCTATTGCCGTTGCCCTGTCCTGCTTTGGGGGCCTCAATGCGTCTATCTTTGCTTCATCAAGGTACTGTGTTTCTGCCTTACCAATAACAGACTGCGGTATTTAATCCCCTCAGGCTCTAGGTGAGCCTGTAAGAGCCCTTCTTTCTCTTGGATATATAGGGTGTATGTGTGTGTAAGCTAATGTGCATGCATATGCTTGCCTTTGTGCAAACATTGTGTGCTTGAAGCTCACACTTCCATCTGAGACGAGGACAAACTGGTTAGAGGTAGAGCGGAGGAAGGTCGTAGCTTGGAGTAGTGATCCTGTCAGGGACTATACTCTAGGCTCCTAGAGTGGGTTATCTGCCGCCCCAGGATTCATTCCTTTAGAAGATTATTATTGAGCACTTGCTGTGTACCAGGTATTAGTACAGGATAACTCTGCCCCTCATTTCAAAAACACTAAGGCTGGCAGGTAGGCTCTTGCTCTCCTCTCTACATAGAGACTTATCTATAGGAGCATTTGTCTTTCCTCCTGTTTCAGAGAAAAGAGCAGTTCTGCTTTTCCAGGCTCACTCTGGGTTCTAGTACCACCCTCTTCTTTAGCATTTTGCTTCATCACTTGGCCCTTCTCTTTGGTGGATGTTCAGTTGGAGCCAGCTCTGCGCTTCTCTCATCTCTACTTAGTGAAATGACAAAACAACTTTTCTTATCTCCCTTCTTCCTTATGGACACACTTCTTGAGGGAATAGTATGCATTTTGACTGTCAGTCATTTTTCTAACCATTATACTTTGGCTTCTACTACCTAAAAAAATGTTCTTATTACCAGTGTACCTGTGTACATTGTGTACCAGTGACCTCCTTCTTAGCCTGCTTTTAGGTCCTTATCCTACTGGATCCCCAAAGCAAGTGATGCTTACCACCCTCTACTTCTGAAACTATTCCTGTGACTCTGTGACTCTCTGATATCTGAGAGAAAGGCTTCTTTCCCGATTTCTCTTCCACTCACCTTATAAACGTTGCTGTCCCAGGACTGGGAGTGTAATAGATATTCAATAGATATTTTCTGCATGAACAGATAAGATGAACTAATAAAATAGTTTCATCCTGTTTATTTTTCTTACTAGTTTTGACACCCCAGTCCATGTACCTGGGGTCTCCCTAGGGTAACCAGAATAATAGAGAAATCAAAGTCTTGTAAAACAGTATGGTGTCATCTTCCCTTGCTTCAGCCTGGTGTGGCCAGGGTTGCACCAGATGTGACTCTTAAGAAGTTACCCCACCCAGAGATGGTGTTTCCTATAGCCTTACCCTTGCTGATTCCTAAGACATCCCAATTGGCTCTGTCAATCTTCTTCTTCTTTTTTTAATTCTTTAAATGTTTTTTTTTTTTTTTATTTTTGAGAGAGAGAAGGAGTGAGAGAGACCGAGCATGAGAAGGGGAGGGGCAGAGAGAGAGGGAGACACAGAATCTGAAGCAGGCTTCAGGCTCCCAAGCTGTCAGCACAGAGCCTGACACAGCGCTCAAACCCATGAACTGAGATCATGACCAGAGCCGAAGTCAGATGCTTAACCAACTGAGCTGCCCAGGCACCCACCCACCCACCCTTCCTTCTTCCTTCCTTCCTTCCTTCCTTCCTTCCTTCCTTCCTTCCTTCCTTCCTTCCTAGGTTATTTATCTTTGAGAGAGAGATCATGAGCAAGGAGGGGCAGAGAGAGAAGGAGAGAGAGAATCCCAAGCAGGCTCTGCACTGTCAGTGCAGAGCCCCAGGTAGGGCTTGAACTCACAATCTGTGAGTTCAGAGATCATTACCTGAGTGGAAACCAAGAATTGGACACTTAATCGACTGAGCCACCAGACACCGCTCTTTTTTTTTTTTTTTTTTAATGTTTATTTACTTATTTCGGGAGAGAGAAAGCAAGAGAGAGAAAGAGAGCAGGGAAGGGGCAGAGAGAGGGAGAGAGAAGGAGAGAGAGAGAGAGAGAGAGAGAGTCCCTAGCAGGCTCCACACTGTCAGCACAGTGCCTGATGTGGGGCTCAATCCCACAAACCTTGAGATCATGAACTGAGCTGAAATCAAGAGTCGGACACTTAACTGACTGAGCCACCTAGGTGCCCCAGCTCTGACAGTCTTCTTAAAATACTTATGTGGTAGGTGCCTTTTAACCTCATTCAGCTATATTGTGGCATTGACAGAATGGGGGTGGGGATAGGGAATGCAGAGAGTAAGGGTCTGCATATAAAGGGGACTGCAGTGATGTCAAGATAATGCACAATTGTTTCTGTCTTACCTTCTCACTTTTTCTTTATTACCTATGTAGTTGTCTTTGTCTTTGTACTAGACACCTTTGCTGCACCAGGACATTACCTCCCCTTCCAGCATCCCCTCTACCATATTTCTTCTCTATCTAGCACAAATTATTAACCTCGTGTGAGCCAACTCCCAATATCTTGCCCTATGACCCTTCCAGATGCTATCTTCAACTCCTGTGGCTCCACCTGGATGGCCCACAGGTATCTCAATGCACTCCACTTGTGCTTTGTCTCTAGTTGTGATATTATGTGCTATCAGTTCTCCTTGTGTGGCCTCTTTATTTTTCCCTTGGTGTCTACCCTCTTCTTCCAACTCAAACATGTACATGCATGCACACACATATATACACACACACACGTAATGTATCACCAAATTTAGTTGAGGTTGTCACATATGTCTTGTTCTCTCCTAAACCAGGGTGTCTACCCTCATTCAGGCCTCTTCTCTTATGGGACAGTTGTCACAGATTGCTTTCTTGTGTGGCCTTCTCCCTATACCTTAGCCTCTCCCTCCTTTAGTTGGCTTCCATGATGCCCCCAGAGTCTCTGTGTCAAATCCTGTCAGGCCTTTACTTCAGAGCCACAGGTGACTCTCAGTGTTTGTTTAGACTCCACAGCATGGCCTGTGTGCAAGTTCTTTCCAGCTGTCTCCTCACACACCTTATCCTGGGACTGCAGGCATTCTAGTACCAACCTTCAAGGAGGCCACCCTCTTTCACTCCTCCAAGCTTCTTTTGCCTTTGCCTATGCTGTTTCCCACCTACCCACTCACCTTCTGGCAAACTCCAACTCTTCTTCCCAGCCCAGATATGGTTATCTCTTGTAAGGTTTTTTATTCCCTCAGCCCACCCAAGCCTGGTGAATGCCATGTGCTCCATGATGATGCTGTACACCCTGGTCTGTGGTTCATTTCTCTGATGCTCTGTTTCTCAATCAGTAGGGCTCTTTGGGGACAGAGAGGAAGCCTGGGTTGTCTCTTTGAGCACCAGGCTTGTACTGTCCTATCATATATCAGGAGCTCGGGGAAGATAGAGAGAGAGAGCTGGCTGCCCTTCTTTAAACAGCCATTGTATTAAGTATGAAATTTGTGGGGTGATAGAGTGGAGGTACCCTTGGTGGAATGGATTGGAGTGCCAGTGAGTGATGGGGGAGTGAGGCATTCATTGGGTGATTGGTGGGTTTTATAGCTGAGGGGCTGGCGGCTGTCCATGGCCAACAGTGAGGTAGGACGTGCCTGGATAATGTTTAAGTACCGTACCCATGGTTGGAGGTTGGAAACATCTGTGGGTAAAGTTGGGGTGAGGGTGAGGGTAGGTTGGGTTGGGCATGCATAGAGAGCATGTGATGCTCCTGAGACACTGCCTCCTGCTTTCTTCTGGAGCTCTGAGCCTAGTTTGTCTGAGGAGTATGGCTGCATGGCTAAGTGAAAGGATCATCCTGACACACTTCTTGTCCTTTTAGGTTGTTCTTCGTGGGCTCCCGTGAGGGCCACCTCCCAGATGTACTGTCCATGATCCACATTGAGCGTTTTACACCCATCCCTGCTTTATTGTTCAATGTAAGCTCTGCTGGGGCGGGTGTGGGGATTGTAGTCCCCTGCTGACATTATGAGAAGACTGGGTGGGAGGTATAGCAGCTTCTTAAGACATTTCCCAAGCCAAAGGGCACCTGGGTGGCTTGGTCAGTTAAGATATTTTCCAAGCCTCTTAGTGTTTATTCTCTTTTCTTAAACTTTTTTAAAAATATAAAAGTAAAACAGGGCACCTAGGTGGCTCAGTTGGTTGAGCATCTGACTTCAGCTCAGGTCATGATCTCATAGTTCGTGAGTTCGAGCCCCACATTGGGCTCTGTGCGGACAGCTCAGAGCCTGGATCCTACTTCAGATTCCATGTCTCTCTCTCTCTCTCTGCCCCTCCCATGCTCACACTCTGTCTCTCTCTTTCTCTCTCAAAAATAAAAACACATTAAAATTTTTTTTTAAGTAAAACAATTATATTAGAGAAGGAAACAGTACAAAAGAATATAAAAATGAATTTGTAAAATTTATCTTTTCTGTCAGTAGTTCTTTTCTTCTCCTTCTCCTCCTTTCTAGCTCCTTTTTTTTTTTTTTTAAATTTAATGAAAGCATATCTAGAAAAGCCAGTCCAGTTGTATACCAACTACCTAGGAGCCTCTATTCATACTATAGACATCATAGATTTATATACAGTAGATAGCAGTAAAGCATTTTATTCTAACAAAATCAGTAAATTATGAAAGTATTCTAACAAATGAGAAAAGACCTGAAGTAGGACTGCCATTTTCTCATTTGCACTAAGGTATTATATATATGAAGGCCAACAAAGGCCTTGAGAAACCTTACTCCAAGATTTGGTGGACGGTTTATTTATTTATTTATTTTTGTCATTTAGTTATTTTCTGGTTTCATTACTTAAGTTTAAATTTTGGATTCATCTGGAATTTATAGTGTATGGAGTGAGCGGGGGGAATTCACTTAATTTTTTCTCAAATGGCTAGCCAGCCATACCAATATCATTTATTAAATAATCCATTTATCCACAGTTTAAAATTATTCTCGTATAAAAATAATAGCTAATTTTTAGGGTGCTTCATATGTACCAAGTACAATTACATACCCCTTAAGTAGTATCATCAGCTCAACTTATCTTCTCCATTAACACCAACCTTCATTATTTAGCTTTGTACTGAATTTCTAAAAACTATTTTTTTTAATGCTTATTTATTTTTGAGAGAGAAAGAGAGAGAGGGAATGTGTAGGGGAGGGGCAGAGAGAGAAGGGGACAGAACATCTGAAGTGGGCTCCCAACTGACAGCAATGAGCCTAATGTGGAGCTCGAACTCATGAACCACGAGATCATGATTTGAGCTGAAGTCGGAGGCTCAACTGACTCTGCTACCCAGGCGCCCTGAATTTCTGAAATCTAAACAGGGACTAAGGATACTTCTATAGTTTTTTCTTCCCCCCTGAAGTTTTCCTGGCAATTACATTTGTATTTCTCTTTATGAACTTCATTATTTTGTCAAAATAACATAAAATCTTCTCAGTATTTTTATTGGGATTGCATTGAATTTATAAATTTAGGGGAGATTTGACATCTTGTTTTTGAATCCTCTTTCACCCCACTTTTTTCAATACAGTCCCCTTTCTCTCCCCAGAATGGGCTCTTTTTGTTTTAAATCCTTTGTTGATAATAGGTGAAAAGATTAAATGGGGAAACTCCATATTTTTGAAGTTTAAGTAAATCTGACCTTTCCCAGGACTCTAGTCCCTGATTCTGTCTTCTAGGACTTTTTTGTTCCAGAGGGCAAATTCTGTCATACCTGTTTTATCAGGGGTATAGATCCATTTTACCAATCAACATTTCTAAGACCTCAGGACAGTGAGTTGGTTCTGGAGGCATTTCCTCCATTTATAAGCCAGGTAGTTGGGACTCAGGAGTGATGGTCTCCAGAGGGCAGTGTGTTTCATGTTGAGGTTGATGCATCAAAGTGAGGAGGGCCTAAATATCTGCCATCAGAAGGGGAAAGGAGTCTGGCTTCTTATTGAAGTGCTTGCAAAAAAGAAGGGAGGCATTGTGTATAGGAAGAGCCAACAGAAGAGGGAGAGATGCCACCTTGAAGGTTAATGCAGAGAATTGACCTATCTGATGCCAAGGGGTCACTGAAAAGAACTGGAGGTAGTCTGGTAAGCTAAATCAGCAATGAACGGCAGATCTCGTATTGATTGCTGGGTGGTTGGAGTCTCCTGGGGTGGCCTGTTAGTGACAATGCCCACTCCTTCTGCCCATCCCCTCCTCCTCCAGTGTACCATGACACTCATCTACCTCACTGTGGAAGATGTTTTCCTGCTCATCAACTACTTCAGCTTTAGCTACTGGTTCTTCGTGGGCCTGTCTGTTGCTGGACAGCTCTATCTTCGCTGGAAGGAGCCTGAGCGGCTCCGGCCTCTGAAGGTCAGTGGCTGTGGACAGACTAGGAGGGGTGGGCCATCTCCTGTAGGTGACTTCTCTGTACCCTGTTCCCGCATAGTGCTTTACCTCGTATCTCACCTCCCTCCATTTCAGCTGAGCCTGTTTTTTCCCATCGTGTTCTGCACATGCTCTGTGTTTCTGGTGATTGTGCCTCTATTCAGTGACACCATCAATTCCCTCATTGGCATCGGGATTGCCCTCTCCGGGGTTCCTGTCTATTTCGTGGGTGTTTATCTGCCAGAGTCCCAGAGGCCACTACTTATTCGGAATGTCCTGGGTAAGTTTCTTTGCCCATCACTCACTGCCTGTGTGTGTGTGTGTGTGTGTATGCGCGCGTGCACACACAGATGTGTGCAGAGGTAGGAGTGGTGGCTAAAAGCTTCCCCTGTACTAGTGATGTACTGGAGACCACGTGACTTCTCAGTGACATGAGCACTTTAGTTCTAACTTTAGAGTCCTATTTTTGGGTTAAAACACTCCCTCCTGAAAGTGCAATCCATGTGGGGAGATGGGGAGTCATGTATCACTTTCTGGTTGGGCATGGAATGGAGGACAGTGAGGCTTATGGGGTTAAGAGGCAAAGCCTGGCACAGGATACCCAAGGGACAAGTGGGAGGGGGCCATAGATGTGCTTTAATCAACACTGTGGTGTTCTTATTGGGGTTGTAGCTAACCATCAGTTTGCTGAATTCTGTTCTCTATTTTCATTTAGCTGCTATCACCAAAGTCACCCAGCAGCTTTGCTTTTGTGTCCTGACCGAGCTCGATGTAGCTGAAGAGAAAAAGGCTGAAAGGAAAACTGACTAGAGGCCAGAGATGATGTCCCTTGAGGCCTGGAAGACCAGCCACAGCCACCAAAGTCCAGATGACAAGACTGTACAGGCCCAACTCTCTTGTTCTAAAGGATCCTGTGGGCCACATTATGTAAGGGGGCTCAGGGCCAATGGCCTGCTTTGGTGGTCACTCTCATTGGGAGCAGACTCAGGGTCTGAGGCCAGCCTGAAGGTGGGAACTGTATAGAAAGTGGTGGTGGGAGGGCTTGGGGTCAGGGGAATAGTTGTTTAGTTTTGTTTCTGGTGAGTAGGTACAGCTTACCAAACACTTGGCAAGTTGCACTGGGGAAAAGGAAGTGCTAGGTTAATAGCTGTGGCTGGTGGTTCTGAATTTGATATTTGAGGTTTGAATCAGAAGTCTCTACAAAAGGGGCTGCTTTATGGCAAGTTTTCCTCTGACCAGGTCCAAACATCTGACTGTAGAGGCCTAAAATGCTATCATTTCTTCCTGTGACTCAAAATCTTTCCCTGGAAAGACGGCTGTATTCCATTATTTATTGATATTATTTAATCCAGAACCCCAGTTCTAGCAAAGCATTGGTGTTCATTCATCTACCGAATGCCATAGACTGATTGTGTTTAAAAATTCAAAGTTACTCCAAACGGAGTCCCTCTGCCCTTAGAGGTGTCTCTGTGTGGTGGTGGATCAGACTCAGACCACAGATTTTTTGGTTTTAGCACATTCTTCTGTTGAGTCTTAGCTGCAAAGGTGAACTTTAAAGATTTTTTTAAACTCATGTATCAATTACACGTTAGTCAATAGGTCACAGATTACAAGCACCTGGCTCAAATCAGCAAGGACAAATGAACAAATTCATGAGTCAGAAGTCTGGTAATACTGCTATTTTGAAGGATAATCCTTTATTTTACTTGAGACCTTAGGTCTTTGTTCTAGATGATAGAAGGTAGATTTCTGGGTTTCTGGTATGAACTTTAAGAGGACATGAACTGTTCTAGAATTCAAGTGGATTACCTGAATTCTCTCAGCTGTCAATGGCTTAGAGACCATCTCATGGACCCAAGCCACCAAATAGTTTGTTTCTTTCTGTAAGGGCCGGTGTGAGGGATGCTGTGCAGACCCACACAAGCCCACCTTGGTGCTAGAAGTGGTCATTTCCCTTTTCTGAAAACCTCACATCACGCTGCATGCTCCTCTTCTATCCCCAACACTGGGCTCTGTTTACACTCCGAGCTGTCTTGGTGTGGATCATCGGGATAGTGCATACCTGTCCTGTCTGCCTCCGCTTGCTGGAGGTTTGGTGGGCCTGCAGTCTCAGGAAGAGCTTGGTACTTGTGTGGACCTCTATTTTCTCCCTGTGGAGATAGTGAAGACTTAGGGGGGAAAAAGCTGCTTCATCCTCAAATCTGGCTCCTCAGCAGACTGCGTGATTGGAAGCAACTAATTCTGGTGCTCAGGCTGTGCTTTAGCATCCAGGTCAGGCCAGAGCAGATTTGGCCTAATGGATGTTCGTTCCCTCATGGACAGCCATGGTTGCGGTGGACTGTACATCTGTCCTGTGATGTGTCCAGACACTGTCATCCTGGGTCCAGAGGAACCTGCAGACTTGGCTCATCCCCTGCCTGGACTTCTTATCCTTTGGTTAATTGTAAAGACAAGAATGAGGCAATCTCCCTTCCTGATCATTCTTTTCCACCAAATGGCCCCAGTCGCAGTCAGGGGAATGGCCTTGGTCATACTTGCTCAATAAAGACAATCAGGGGAGCATGAGCACAGCTGTCTTCGGTTCAGGGCATGCATGGATGAGAAAATGAGAGGACATTCCTACTGTCATGGGTTGGGGCAATAGGGAGTCTGTGCAAAGGCTGACTTGCCTAGACTGTGTAAACTTGACTCCTGTCTGAGGCAAGATGGCACTTTTCCCAGGGATCCTCTGGAGCTAATCATTGAAGTCGTGTGTGCTTGTCTTGAGGATCCCTGACCAAGGTTTTAGCTTTCTCCACTGAAGTAAATGACCAGCTAGTCCCAAGAACTTGCTGCCCCCCACTGGCTCCTGGGGGAAGCATGGGCCTCACACCCTAAGTGACCCCATACAAGCTTAGTGAGCCATGTCATCCCCCTCTCATTACTGGATGGCACCTGCATTTTTCCCCTCTGTGCTGGATACAGACTTCACCCAAGAACCCATCTGTGGGAGGGAAGCCAGAGACTCCCTACAGCACTCAAGCTTTGTGGTGGAATTAAATTTCTGCAAGGTCTTTGTTGTTCATCTCCTTCAATCCTTCTCCTGGTGTGCTAATCCCTTTTGCAGTAGGCACAGTATGTGAGGTTGTCAGCCCTTTAATGTTGGCAAACCTTAATGAGTATAGAAACAGCAGTAAGCACATTATAATGGCACTGAGTAGTTTTTAAGCCTTTGTTTCTATGCCTACAGGAGACTAAGATGACTAGTATTACACATGTAAATTGCTGCCTGTTACTTACAGCACTGAATTGTACCTTTGTGGATAGTTAGGATGGTAAACTAACATTTTGTTGGTTTTGTAGCCACAAGAGTACATACGGAATTTAATCACTTTGGCAGGTTTAACATAAATCTAGGAATATAGGAAAGACCTACAAAATGAACATGAAGTGAAAGAATGGGTGGAGGCAGGTTAGAAAAAGAGAGATACTTAAGAAATTATAAAAGATGTGGGTAGGGGCGCCTGGGTGGCGCAGTCGGTTAAGCGTCCGACTTCAGCCAGGTCACGATCTCGCGGTCCGTGAGTTTGAGCCCCGCGTCAGGCTCTTGGGCTGATGGCTCAGAGCCTGGAGCCTGTTTCCGATTCTGTGTCTCCCTCTCTCTCTGCCCCTCCCCCGTTCATGCTCTGTCTCTCTCTGTCCCAAAAATAAATAAACGTTTAAAAAAAAAAAAAAAAGATGTGGGTAGAAGACATCCCTGTGCAACTCATCTTTCCATGTGATGGGTGTTCGTGCCACAGGGCAAGAAGGCACATTTTGAATCAAAATTTCTGTGTATTATTTTCCTAGACCTGTACTATCCGGTACAGTTAACTATTAGGCACATATAGCTAATTAAATTTAAAAATATTGATTCCTCAGTTGCACTAATCATAAACTTTAAGAGCTGAGCCACATATGGCTAGTGGCTACTATTGTACAGTACAGATATAGAACATAATTATTGTGCATGAAGTTCTATGGGACAATGTTCTCTTAGAAGAATAAATGCCAACTCAGAGCAAAGATGTGTGGTATGGAATGAAGTAGGGACAGAGTTTGCTTATAGGGAGTCCAAGTTCCGTTAATCACTTTTTAGTGAGTACTGTGCATAGTTAACATTTCTCATTGGAAAGCTAAGTTCAGGATCTGCTTTTCTTTTCCTCACTTGCCTGAAGTCCTTAGTGTCTAAGGTCAATCCTGAAAGCTGTCTCACTAACCACTCCCCCCCTGCCCATTTTTGGTCGAGGGTGGGGATAGGAGATAGGAGGTACAGTGGGAAAACATGTAAAGCCATTCAGATTTAAAAGGTTTTTGAGGAGGGACAGCTGGGTGGCTCAGTTGGTCAAGCATCTGACTTCAGTTTAGGTCATAATCTCATCGTTAGTGAGTTCCAGCCCTGCGTCTGGCTCTGTGATGACAGCTTGCAGCCTGGAGCCTGCTTTGGATTCTGTGTCTCCCCCTCTCTCTGGCCATCCTCCACTCACCCTATGTCTCTCTCTCTCAAAAATGAATAAAAATTTAAAAAATATTAAAAAGAAAGGTTTTTGAGGAGTGTGTGGGTGGCTCAGTCCATTGAGCATCCAACTTTTGATTTTGGCTAAGATCATGATCCTAGGGTTGTGGGATCAAGCCCGCATTGGGCTCTGCGCTGATTGTGGAGCCTGCTTAAGTTTCTCTCTCTTCCTCTGTTCCTCCCCTACTCACTCTCTCTAAAAAAATAAAAACTAAAAGGTTTTCAAGGAATGACTTGCTCCCATTTTTAAAGTTAGTTTTTATTAAACATAAGAGTATCACATTCATACATATCCTGTTCTTTCTGGCACCACTGCCAAAGGAAGACAGCAGTCTTTACAACCATTATCAGAGTCAGGAAACAGGGTGGTAGAGACAGCTGTTAACTTAAAACCTCTCATAGCTCAAGCAGATTCTACTTCCATCTCTATGGCCACAACTATCCAGTCTTTGCTGCTATAAGGGACCAACTATAGCCCTTCTAGATTCCATCAAAAGAAAGGCTTTTACTGGAGGCAGGTGGCCGGGTGGTATGAGAAAGCTAAATCTTAGTGTTGAGGAAACAGGAGGCTCTCCTCCACTTACTGGCCTTAGTGTAGGAGTAGAATGGGAAAATCCCCAGGCCAGGAAGCATCATTTTTACATCATTTTTCCCCCCAGACTATAGAGTCACTTTTGATTGAGGCAAAGGGGTCCTACTGTTACTGAAAAAGACACACTCCTTTAGCACAGGTTTTCACTGGTAGGAGGGTGCTGTTGGACATGGGTTTTCCCTTCTACTTGTTAAGATAAGAAACCCAAGGATGTTACTAGGGTGGCTGAAGCTGCAGTTAGAGCCCTCAAGGGCCTGTGATAGAATCTCATGGGATCATCAGTCTGAATCCAGGTCATGGGGACTATCATAGCCAAACTCCTTCTGCACATCCAAAGGGTATTTGCTCCACATCTGTGGTCTGCTGTTGCCTCTTTCCTCTTCACTGAAGCTGTCGTATTCATCAGAGCCTAGAATGATCAAAGAAATGGGCTGTTTGAGTTTCTAGGTGGCCACGACAACCCTTTACCATCTCAAGAAGGTCTGGGTTTTTTGTTCTCTATTCTAAAATACTTGCTTAGTGAAGAGAATTTTGAATTTAAAAAAGCAGGGGAGGGCACCTGGGTGGTTTAGTCAGTTGAGCATCCTACTTCAGCTCAGTTCATGATCTCATGGTTTGTGAATTCGAGCCCCTTTGGTTTCTCTGTCCCCTTCCCCTGCCCTGCTTGTGCTCTCTCTCTCAAAAATAAGCAAAAAAAAAGGCAATCCTATTTCTCTACCACTTAAACCAAGTCCCTCAACACTGGAATATTTTTTCATTTCTCCCCCTAAGTATAGGATTTTTTTGTTGTTGTTGTTATCATAGTTGTAGTCATACTGTAAATATAGTTTCATGTCTGCCCCTTTCAACATATCACAGGCACTTCCCCAAAAGAATATTCCATAGTTTAATTGTTCCTCCATTAACAGAGACCAAGAAGTTCTTTTTGTTGGCACAAAGAACATAATCACTGAAGGAACTTTATCATCAGAGTATCTCTCCTTCTTCCTTCCCCAGGGTACCATGCCTGTGTTGCAGCTTCCTCAAAATGGTATAAACACAGCAACTTCTTTGAGAAGTTATATAACTGATTTGTCAAAATCCTAGCTCTGCTCCTACTGGCAAACCTCTCCAATACTTTCCTGACTGAGCGAGAGAAGAGACACTGAGATAGATGTTTCCCTTAATCCCAATCACTAAAGTTAGTGCATTACTGTTCTGGAGACAGGATGAGGCTCAGTGAGCCATTAACTATGTCCCCAAGACCCACAGACAGGCCATGAAAGAACCAAGGGTTCAAACCCAGCCCTGACTGACATTAAAACCCCAGTAGGCCCCCTGGAAACACTGGTCTTTGGGGTTCTTAGAGCTCCAATGGCTTGTGGGTGAGCTGCTGGGAATGGTAGAGAAGGAAAGCCAGTTAAGATGTAAGTGAACCGTGCTCACACCTCAGTCTTAGATGCCACCAGTCCCTTCCCATCCAACACTGCCACCCATGTACCTCTGGAATCTTCATCTCCATCACTGTTCTCCTCCTCTGGGTACTCATTGCGCCAGTTACTCTCACTATTCTCATCATCATCATCTTCATAAATGTCTTCTGGCTGCTGGTCATCATTCACCTGCACATCTCAACACAATCATGAGTATAAATCAAAACCTCTAAGGTTGTAGGGGGGAAGCTATTAGCAGACCAACTTGGAGAGATCATTTAAGAGCACTGTGTGAAAGGGGTGCCTGGGTGACTTAGTTAAGCGTCCAACTTCAGCTCAGGTCATGATCTTACGGTGAGTTCGAGCCCCGTGTCGGGCTTTGTGCTGACAGCTCAGAGCCTGGAGCCTGCTTCAGATTCTATGTCTCCCTGTCTCTCTGCCCCTCCCCTGCTCATGCTCTGTCTTTCTCTGTCTCAAAAATAAATGAAAAAAAAACCAAAACATTAAAAAAATTAAGAGCGCTGTGTGAAAATGAGGCAGCCTAGGAGCTGCTTTGAATCTGCTGCACAAGAGGCTATAGTAACCTTAGGCTACAAGATAGTGACAACAGCCCTATTCCCCACTCAGAGTCCAGCTCCAGGCATTACAATCCTGATAGGATGAACTCCACCAGAAGGGAACACACCAGGCTGTGGAGGAGAGACAGCTCTGAGCAGGTGATGGCAGTGATCTTCAAACTTTAGGATAGCCAGGTGGGAGAGGGATTAAATAGATTATGGGTGATGCCAAAAATCAGAACCAAAACTTGAGTGTAAGGGCAGGAAGAGGGGCTATGCAATGGTCCAGGGTGGGTTCGTGACTGTGAGACTATGGTTGCAGTGTAGGTATGGGATAAATATGCCTTTCACCATTTTAGAATTTAAGAATAATGATGTCTGGAGTGCCTGAATGGCTCAGTTGGTTATGTGTCCGACTCTTGATATTGGCTCAGGTCATGATCTCATGGTTGTTGAGATCAAGCCCTACCTACATCAGGCACTGTACTGAGTATGGAGCTTTCTTGGGATTCTCTCTCTGCCTCTCCCCTGCTTGCACATTCTCACTCTCTCAAAATAAACAAACAATATCAACAAAAGAGTTGGAATGCCTGGGTGGCTTGGTTGAGTATCCAACTTTAGCTCAGGTCATGATCTCATGGTGCCATGATCTCATGGGCTTGATACTGTCAGTGCAGAGCCTGCTTTGAATCCTCTGTCCCCACCCTTTCTGCCTCTCCCCTGCTGGTGGAAAAAAATAATAAGGATGTCAGGAGCACCTGGGTGGCTCAGTTAAGAGACTGACTCTTGATTTTGGTTCAGGTCAAGATCCTGCAGTTCACGAGATCAAGCCCCATGGCAGGCTCTGTGTTGACGGTAAGGAGCCTGTGTGGGATTCTCTCTGCCCCACCCCTGCTCATGTGCAGGGGCACGCCCTCTATCTCTCTCTCAAAGTAAACAAACTTAAGAAAAAACAAAA